TGGGCGACCAAAGTTTTACATAGGAATATATAGGAAAAAATCTTTAAAAAACCTTTTTCTCAAAAACAGTAAAACCATGATTAGTCACATTTGTACGGAAGCATCCTCAGGTTGTGTAAATTCAAATTTGTTCAAATCATGATCCCCTTGGGTAGGGAAAGTTCATATGAGTGATCAAATTTTTACATCAGAAAAGGTAAGAAAAATCTTTAAAAATCTACTTCTCAAGAACAGCAAATTCATGATTATTCACAAATAAATGAAAGCATCCTCAGGTTGTAAAGATTCAAATTTGTTCAGATTATGGCCCCTGGGGCCAAACAAACAGTATAAATTTGTGAACAGGGCATAAAACATGGACCCCTGGAAATTCCAGAGATGGGATCAGGTGCCTAGAAGGAGAAAGCATTCCATGTTGACTGGTCACATACAAACAGGCATAATGTAATAGCAAACTTACTTCATCTCTTGTAGTTCTTTGTCTTTAGTGAATATTATACATTTATTGACTGGGTTCGAGGGCAGCGTACGTTTTGTCGGACCAAAGAACCGAACTCTGCCTGAGGCCGTTATGCAAACAGTTCGACCCCTCGAACCAAATTTTTTGCCTGAGGCCGTTAGGTAAACAGATAGACCCCTCGAGGGGTGGACAAAACGCATTTTGCCCGAGAACAATAAATGTTTTGTTAAATCTTTTACTTTTTATTTTGACATATCTTGCGCTGGCTTCCATGTTTGCGATAATTGATAAGATATAGCTGAACCCGCCTACAATGTGACGTAACTAAGAGGCCCATGGACCACATCGCTCACATTGGCTAGGAAGAAGCAGAAATCAGTTCGGTATTGAACAAGAGGGAAAGGGCAAACTTAAATTTACACTACCTCGGATGCTTTCATATCAATATTACTAATCATGGCTTTGCTGAAGAATTTAAAAGATTTTTTCCTATGTATTCCTATGTAAATAAACTCTGGCCCAACCCTACCCGCATTAAATATGAAAAAAATTGAATCTACACTACCTGAGGATGCTTCTATAATAATATGACTAATAATCATGGCTTTCCTATATATATATATATATATATATATATATATATATATATATATATATATATATATATATATATATATATATATATATATATATATATATTCCTATGTAAAACTTCGACCCCCTCTTGTGGCCCCGCCCTACCCCCGGGGGTTATGATATGAAAATAACTTGAATAAAAAATATGTAATGAAGCTTTCACATAAGTTTCATCTTTTTCTTGCCTTGTGATTCTTGAGAAGAAAATTTTTAAAAGATGTCACCAAATTTTCACGAATTCTTAATCATCTCCCCTTGAAAGAGAGTGTGGTACTTCCTGTGAATAAACTTATATCCCCTTCACCCAAGGATGTTTTGTGGCAAGTTTTGTTGAAATTGGCTCAGTGATTCTTGAGAAGAAGTCGAAAATGTGAAAAGTTTACAGATGACAGACGAACGCCAGACACTCTTTCATCAGAAAAGCTCACTTGAGCCTTCGTCTCGGGTGAGCTTTAAACGTCATAGCCTTCAAGTATGACACATTAGGGCTGCATTCAAGATCAAGCGGCTATGTAGCTCTATGTAGCCGCTACGATCTTGAGCGATATGTTAGTCTAGCCATAACAAGCATTAATTCATACAATGCGTTCAATACAACATATATATTTAACTTAGTAGTTTGGCTAGCTGCTACGATCTTGAACGCAGCCCAGGTCTACACACTACATGCATTAATATTTGAGTTGACTAAAGTGTGTTAAGTCACAATTCAAGGTTACTAAGTACATGTCAAAGATCGTGGTCATTTTAACTAGTAGCTATTGGGCGAATAGTAATTTATCCGATACTGTATTTCAAGTTATTCTGCCCTAGAGTTTTTTAGTTAAGGGCCAGGCAGAATTTGAATTCAACGGTTACTATGATCATGACCTTAGACTTTGAGTCATGGTCATGACGCACACCGGCGAGGCAGGTTACAACTAAGATTAGCAAAATGAATTTGAAATGACAAATATTGTGCAACCCTGACACGTGTTTCTAGGGGAGGGAAAAAAAAAAGACTTGAAAATAGATTCTCATGTCATATTACATATACATAATATTTGCAATTTTTTTCCTTCTATAACATTATTTGGACAAGGCGTATAAACAGGTTCGTCACATGATCATCAATTCATTGTTAAGTCATAAAGATCGACGTAATTTCACAAGTGATGTTATAAGTGATCGACAAGTTCGATACATTCAATTTATATACCATCGAGATTTTAAAAAAGTTATCATTCCATGGGTTTAAAACTAGTACTTAAGTTCGCAAACATTTGTTATAAATCAGTCACAAATGTAAATATAAGATATAATTTTTAAACATTTATCAGGATGTAATTTTATACAAGTTGATTCGGGCTTTATGGAATTTGATCACATGACCAACCTGTATTAACATCCCGATAGACTTAAAAATGATACCTTATCTCTTTTAAAATTAAAAAAAAAATTCGATCATAATATCATTTTCATTAAATAAAAAATCTTCAAAACATCGTATCAATAAAAAGTTCCAAATATATTGCAATTTATGCAAGATTTTTTGAACGCAAACGAGTAGATTAATCGTACCTTTATAGATTGTTTTCAAATCAGAGTTTGCAATTTTTCTTGAAATGGCATACAATTTCCTCGTGTCTTTTGTACTAATATTGCAATAGTTTGAGAACACATCATGTAAGATGGATTTATCTCTATAAATTGTTCACTGATTTATCTGCATTGAAATACAATCTCAGTGCTATTTGTATAATTTAACACAATAATTAGAGTCATTTCCTTCAAATTGTAGAAAAATTCTTATGATAAAGGGTAATTTCTTAATGCATATATTCTGTTTAATCCCAGTGCATGTGCGTTGTGTGTTTATATTTTTAATATTTTGAAACTCCCTTGTATTCTTTTATTAATTTGATTAAATAAGCCAACATTTGACAATATAGACAAAGCACATTACATATATGCATACATTATACCAGTTTTGAACCAGATATAGAACTTATGTGATGTGACTTAGGTCGATCATTCTGAAGTTTAAATATAATACTGTATTGTATTCTCTGGGGCAGACATTACTCATTTTCTATACTGTGAACCTGAATTTATCTCATCACGTTACCAATTGTCAATCCTATTTTCTGATTCTCATATAAAGTTAGTGTTTTTTGTTAGCCCCACTCACAACTTCGATCATGGGAGGATTATTGAAAAACTGTGTATAAGATCAGAAGTAGAAAAATTCAAGTGAATTTTAGAGATAGGGTAAAAATTAAATACTTCCTGACCGACATGCTTTGCTAAGCAAATGTCAAGTTTCGTTACGTGCACATTTATTTGAATTATATTCATGGTTGTTAAAAATGCATAACTTACTGCACAAGAATTAAAATTAGTTAATATACTACGCAGGAGGTTGATTTACTTCACTGTTTGGTAATGCACATTATAATTAGTGAAAACTCGCATGAGTAATACTTATTTATATATCAAAATAATTTCAATAATGATTTTACCTTGAAGATTACATTCCGGTTCTATTTTAGCTCCATTTGGGAGTAGTTCTTTTTTCAATGGAAGACAGTTAACAAGAATACGTACATTTACAGTTACATGTACTTCCCAACGATAATGAATTAACCTTGATTTAAAACTTTCTGTTATTAGACTCTGATACTTCAACAATTTTTATAATTGTACATATTACTCTGTGTCTTTTCCTTTTTTTTTTCCCCGAGTACAAAATGACAAAAACTTCAAATGATCATTATCTGGGACTGGGAGTATTGGAAGAAACACTGTTCCTAATTCTTTTAAAAATGAAAGAACGAGGGCGCTTTTGATTGGCATTCGGCAGGAATCTGGGCGCACTTGAGACGTGAAAATTTTACTCATCTGTATCATGATATCTTAGTATTCATTTGATGTATGAAGTTCCTTTGGAAAGGAAAAGAAAATATTTTCCGGACATTTTGTCTCAAGTGATTTGCCAAGATATGCCTTTAGATATAACTAGATAATTCATTTAGTACAAAAAATTACATTTTTAATTTTTTATACATGTTATATATACATTTGCTATTTCTGGGTCATCTCTCCACGATTTTGAAACATTATTTACATGAACGTGCATTTTTACTCGAATAAACGAGAAAAAGCTAGTAAAAAATGGAGAGAAGACCCAGAAATCATTAAAAAAAAATTTTTTTCCAAAAGAAAATTTCACTGTATTAAGGCGCTGCTTCATTGTCGTTTTAAAACCAGCAACAAGTATGTGGCGACGATGCTTATTGGTATGTGTTACCTGTCCATTGCAGTTATGAATTGATGTTTTTGGTTCGAACCTGGCATGAAGCGTTTATTTATTTATTATTTAAAACATACATACGATCAAGTCCTTTAAATTGTTATTTAATTTTAATTACTGATTTATAAAAATTTTATGATAGTTCAATTTTGTTTCTGCTGCAACGAGATCGAAAGCAATTCTTCCAACCTACTGAAACTTTCCATTTAACAATTCAATTATCTTATACATGTAGTTGTTTATTATTTATGTGAAGTGTTACTATTTTATCATATGTGTTAAGATAGAGAGACTTAAATAAATATAACAATTTGACAGGGAATTTTAATGCATTAGTGCGTTACTTTGTAGTCTGTCCAGCTGACCAAATTGTGGACATTTCATACACACGATTCCTGCAGATCACGCACCAAGTACGCCCATCTTTCTATAATGCTATTAGAAAGACGAGAATACCTTTGTTTTTTAAGTAGTTAAAGGAAAGTAACTCCTGTTCATCTTCTCAAAAGTAATGGCACAAATTTATTTTTTGGTAGGTATAAATTCATAATGCTAAATTCTGAAGTTTTCACATCAAACACATTAAAATTAGTATTCTTTGGTCTTGATTACTATTTTATTCATAAAACATCATTGCATTTCTCATAAATACATTATTACTAACAAAAAAATCCTAGGTCTTCAAGATGTTTGTTCTTTTGGTGAACAGTCCTTCTGTGCATTGAAATATTCAATTCTTTTCATTAAATCACTATTAAGTTTAATAAATTCCTTTAGATTAGGGGTACCTTCAAATGCCACGTTTCTTTGCTTGAAGTTTCTTTTTAACACTATTTCCATTACTGGAGGTAATCGAGTATCAATATCCTCTGCTTTAATTTTTGGTTCATGCACTTTGTCAATCTTACAAAATTCCTCCTCTTCATCTTTCGGAATGAGTCGCCAATCACGTTTCCCTCCTGCATCAATTCTGATTAACTTTGGGTACTTGTTCCCTCTGAAAACCTTCGTACCCCATGCCACACCAGTCAAATTCTGGAATTTAAATTAAACTCATTAGATCTAAGGCTACAAGATAAATCTTATTTTGAGTTTTCATCTAGAAATTCAGCAAACTGATCAATTGGCAAGATATATAGAATTACTTTATTCTCTGTCTAAAAGTGTACATCAGCTGGTAATCAGCAACAACTCAGATACTTGCCATTACATGATTGTTTATACAGCTATATGCTGTATATGCATATTTTTGCCCCCATAAAAGTCAAATTTTGAAAATTTCTTGAAATGTGCTGAATTGTATAATCTGAATCTATGAAATACTTTATAGTTTTGAAGTAGGTTTTTGACAATTTTTGTTTCTATGATGTCAAAAACCATTTGGATTTTGTATTATTTTTCAGAAAGAGGACAAAATGGACAGAATTTGTTCCAATCTTACTATATAATTCATAAACCTGCTTCATAACAATTTTCATATATTTCATTAATATATCAATCTACACATGATATCAAAACACCGAGTTGAAGCAGATCTGCGCTCAGTGAATTTTTACTCAAAATATCGATGTTTTTCTCTATAAATCATGGAAATTTTGAATTTACGTCACTTTCGTGACATCATATTTAACATATGGTGTCATGGCAAATGAAAATATTTAATGCTTTGAAGTCTGCAGATATCCCCCTGGTTTGGCACAAAATTAAAGATTTTTCTGTCAAAGTTTGATTTTCAGGCCAAATATTGATCATTACCGAATATAGTACTTTTGATCCCCTATTAAGGCCAAACCTTTTCTCTGGTACATGTATTTGTGGTGGGGTGGGAGTGGGGGTTGAGGGTTGTGAGGTGAAGATTTGAATTTAGAATCTACACTATGTGAGGAAGCTACCACATATACATTTTGTCTTTTCTGGCCCAGTAGTTTCTGAGAAGAAGATTTTTTTTTTTTTAGAGATTTTTCCTATACATTCCCATCTGCAATTTTGATGTGGAACCACTCTACCAAGGGGTGGGGGTGGGGACAACATAAAGGCATGTCTGACTGACTCAGGCTAGTAACAGTATGGTCCAGTCTAGTTTATTTTGGATCAAAGTAGCCCGGCTGGTCATGCAAATATATCTTTAAGTTAAAGTGAAGCAAAACAATTATTTAAGAATTTCTAAACAGTCAATCAAATCTTGTGGTTTCTTTCACTTTCAATTTTTGATCCCGTTGAGAAATAAATGTGAAAAGATTTTTTTTGGAAACCTCTACTTGTTTTATTGTACCAGAATAGTTTGCTGATTGAAAAAAATTATTTACTCTATTATCAGTGTACATGTACAATATCAATACTTGCCAATTTTCCACAATTGATCTTATCTTAAAGGCTAATCTGCACCCAGAGTTATCTTTCCTGCTAGGTCAATTGCTGCACGGTGTGATATTTTTCTTGAATTCAATAAGAAGAAATTTATTCTGTTATATAGTGTATAATTTTTTGCATCTCCACCCCCATCCCCCAAAACTTGAGATAACTATAAATTTATTTACATTGAAGATGTCATTAGTTGACTATGTTTCTTCATGTCAATATTTAGTAATAATTCATTAAGTCATTCAATGATCCATGGAAATTAAGTCAGATCTAGTGAAGTTGAGGTCAGGTCTAGTAAAATTTTCAAGTGCTAGTCCTTCTGGTCTAGTATCTTGAAAACTTAAATGTTGAGCCCTGGCAAGTTGAATTATTTAGAATCTAAACTATGTCAAGAAGCCTGCCAATTTTTTGTTATTTCTTATTTATCTCCTCTTGGAAAAGGATGTGGCCCTTTATTCGAACAAATTTGAATCCCCTTCACCCAGAGGTGCTTTGCAGCAAGTTTGGTTGAAAATGACCCAGTACATGTAGTCCTGGAGAAGATGAAAATGTGAAAAGTTAATGACAAAGACAAAGACAACAACATACATTGGGTGACCTAAAAACACTCTGATCGTTTTGTTTTAATTAAAATTTCAACTTACTTTCCCATGATATCCATGCTCAACATGAGATAAAATATAGTAGCTTTTTTCAGGATATCTCTCAAATGACACTCGAGTGACCACACGACCTTTAGGATTCTTTAGCTGAGCAGTGAGCTCCATCAAGGATTTCCCACGGAAAAAACTGTGTCTGCCAAATAACTTCATTTTGAAATCTGAAACTGACATTGAAAGACAATTTGAAAATTTGGGATATCTTTAAACATTGTGTATGGCTGTATGCATTTTTAATTGTACTCTAAATGTGTTACTCAAATCTGTGTGACAGATTACACTGTTTATGCACAGAGATGGAACAATACAGCCATATTATACAGTTATGGAATTGGTATGAGCGAAATAGCAAATTTATGGTTCCCTGAGGGAGGAAACTATTTCCTGAGGTGGTGAAGGAGACTAAGGGGTATATTCTCAAACAATTCCAATGATGAATTGAGGGAATTATTTCTATTCTGCTACAGTGAATATTTAAACTTCTCTACAGAGAAATGCAGAAGCTAGACTTGGACATCATCAGAAGTGACTTTTTACGTCACAGTTGAATGCTACTCCTCGTTCATTTGTATCTCAAACATTAAAAAAAGTGGGATGTAATCCTAACCCAAAGTAAATTTTTTCCCACCAATTTCCCACAATTAAAAGATACTTTTATTCTTTTCCTAGTGAACAGTACAGTCAAAATTAAACAGGTCCTGTAAAATCAGTACATTTAGCTACGTAGCTAGAACTACCTACTTTAGCTTTATTTAGCTACCTCAGGTATCTTTATTTAGGTATTTCAATGCAACTTTTCACAATCTTGCTTTTCATTTAAAAACGATCTACTACAGTTATTGCTGAGATCAAAGAAATGCCGCAGACATTATTCTCCAATAAATCATGAACGCCATGAAAAAATCATCGGATCAGAAACACATATCAAACCTACTACAGTTGCAATGAATATTTTACTGAAAATCTAATACTTTAGACCATATCGTTGTGTCGTCTTCCGCAGTCTATAGAGTGTGTATTGCTGAAAACAACTGATAAATGCTGGTTTTTATAGCTAAAATGCACTGTTCCAAGGACCTCCCCACAACATTTACACTCTGTGATTTTACTGATAAGCAAAGAAACAGACAACTGATTTTGTTATTATACATTCATAAAAGTTAATCAATACATGTTACAAATAAATTTATAATTAATTAAAGGATATTTTTAACCCAACAAAAGCTCAAATTGTCTGCATTCTATACACAAGTAAACAAACAAATTGGCCCTCTGATGTTAAATGGAATAACCTAATTGCAGCATGGTAACCTAATTCGTTTCTCTACAGAGGAAACAATCAGCCATATCTGTTAGTAGAATAGAAATAGTCCTTGTTGTTGTAAATGATGGGATAACCTCCTCGGTCTTGAAATGTTGCTTGAAATATAAAAGCCTCGGCTAACGTCTCAACTTTTATATTTCAAACAACACTTCTCAAGCAGTCAGAGGTTATTCTGCAACATTCACAAGAACGCAGACTTTATTTCTTAAATATACTAGGGATTTTTAAAAAAAGCAGTCTAAAGCTGAAATAATTACACAATGTTGCTTTTGAACACTTTTGAGCAAAGAATGTATTTTCATTGTTTGAGTAACTGTACACCACTTTGTGAGCGGTGAGGCATGGATAAGCATGGTTACTTCACCAGCTGTTCACACTGTGCGGAATGATCAGTGCTTGGGGCATCACAGATCTGTAAGAGTTATCAGTCTCTATGTTTAGGTTGTGATCTTTATAAATATCATTAAGTTCCCTTTACTTGCTGATGAAAAAGCATAATAGGAATCAATGTTATCCCAGAAACCACAAGCTGATTGTATCCAACCAGAATTTTCTTCAATCTGAATTCCAGATCACGAAAATTACACCAGTGTACACCTAACCATGTTTTTAAAAATGGGCTTTGTTCTGAGAAATAAGATGTACGTTAACCAAATCTTTTAGAAAATCATACCAATTTTCACGAAATCATGGAAAAACACAAAAATGAACTCTCTTCGCCAATGGGTCTGCACCGAGTGCACGTTCTTGAATAAAATTTAGAAATAAAAGATTCGCGATCCCGACTTTTTTATCAGATCTTGTACCATTGCCATTGTGAACCGCATTTTCTTTAATAATAATAATAAGTAAATAAGTTAACAACAAGGAGGAATAAGGAAAAGAAATCACGAAAGGTTTGGTACTAAGCATGCTAAGTGCACAGACTTGTTTTTGCTAAATTATTAAGCACATAATGGGTCGTTTGAGTCAAGGAAGCTCTAAACACTGCCATTTTTTTTTTATCTACCATTTTTTTTTATCTGCCTTTAGAAGTAAGATAGAATAAATGCGAATCTACAATGGATTAAGTAAGTGAGAACATAATTTCTATTCAGTTTCCGAGTGCAAGTATTAAGTCAATGTCTCAGCACATTTTTCCTGGGGAAATAGGGTAGGTACCCTATGCATGTTGAAAATAAACTAGAAAGTCCAAAAAGGGTTTTGTTGGTATTCAGAGATTCCTTAATTTGGACTCCTTTGTCTCATTTTGGACATTACTCTTGGATTTTGAAACGTTTTGAAAAACCGTAGCCTACTCCTACATCGACTTTTCCAAAATCAAACAAATAATCTCAAGATAACTCAGAAACTCCTTACTGATTTCCAACTTTTTATATTAAAAAAAAAATACTGAAATACCTCATCTTTAAATACTGATAGATTTTGTCATTGTGTAATGATACAATGCCATTATATAGCGATACACTTAATTTGTCGTTATACTTGTATATACTTTATTTTGATACACTGTTATACCTTTTCATTTTATGCTGATAGTTTGTCATTATGCTGATATTTTATTATTCTATGTTGAGATTTTGCAGCCTTTGTTCTTCCTGGGAAAATCTGTCCTATATATCATAAGAAAAAAAGGGATCCGAAGTGCCGAAACTTTTTGGACCCCTCGATGGGAAAAAAAAGTTTTAAAAGGGCTTTAAAGGTTCAAATCTATCATGAAGTATAAAAAGTAGGTATTCACGTTCAATTTCATTCAATCCGGGCTTTATTGCTAGAGTAGAAATAATATGTCTTATATCTTCCAAGGCACCTGACCCCACCTCTGGAATTTCCAATGGTCCGTGTTTTATGCCCTCTTCACAGATTTGTATACTTGTAGTTTTTTTTAATCGATCACCGATCGTTATCTTCGCCTTTTTCATTCTTGATAAAATAGCCGTTTCATTTAATTTAACGTTCATAATTATATTCACACCAATGTAAAACTCGCCTAAGAATTCTACATATAAGACGATATATTTACATTTGCTGTGTTTTCTACTAAACCAACTGTGAAATTGATTTGAAAGCCATTTTTTGTATACTCACGCGTAGAAATATACACGCAGAAACTCGCTCTAAAGTGGCGTTACAATGAGGCTACAGAGACGTTAATAAAAATCACAGGCCTTTGGATCGCTTAAATCCGACTTTAAAAAATCGGGGTGTATGAAAAAAACACCTTAATTTTTTTAAAGCGATCTAAGGGCCTGTGATAAAAATATATGACGATATAGGGCAGCGAGAAATTCAAACATTGAGTATAGTTTTGGTGCATTTAAACATGTAAAATGTAAATATAAGGAATTTTTTTAAAGTTTAGTGTGAATTATTGGTGTGTAAATCACATGCACAGACTAGCTTGCGCGCTTCATGAAATATGTCTACGTGACAAGTCTCTGTGATTTAGACACCAATAACTCATACAAAACTTAAAAACATTCCTTAATTATATGCTCATAGATGTATATTAAAAATAGTAACCAAAACAATATATACCACATATGAAAAAAAGATTACGATAACGAACAGAGATCGATCTCATTAATTCTGTAAACAATACAAACCGTGGAAACTGCAGAGGTGGAATCAGGTGCATAGGAGGAATAAACATCCCCCTGTCCATCGGTCACATCCGCCGTTTAGCCCTCTGTATTTATCAGGTGAACCGAGTATTAGGGTAAAAACAATGGCTTAACATGCAGTTGCTATGAAATATATAGGTCAAAATAAGTTGCAATTGCAAACAAGGTCAATATATCGACCATAGAATTTGCGAAATGCTGACTCTAAACGAGATTGTTAAAAGCCATGTAACATCAACAAATATGTCAGTAGTCTATCTTAAAAAAAAAATTATAAACTATAGAACTCAAAACATGTCTGCGTACCGCATCAGCTTGGAGATGTAAACACTATGTGCAGGTGATATTGGAATATTACTGCAAAAATAGGGAAAGTTGTCAATGGAAAAAGCCGAAGACATCACGTTTGCCCTATAGTTTAGTTGGTCATTAACGTCTATATAGTCAATAATACATTTGAGAAAGTTTCAAAAATGTAATGAACTAAGCAGCATTTTCAAATGCTGTACAGATGTGGAGTCTTTTACTGGTACATGTGTATTTAGAGTTCACTAGGATTGATCAAGTCGACAAATGAATTGAAATAACTTATTAATCGATAAAAAGTGACGGCTATCAAACGAGCACAATTAGTCCCTATTAAAATTCCAATATTGTTCGAAGACCTTGTCTCCAAAGACTACATATTCTTAGATATTGTCAACAAGGAACTCTAGCATCTGTTTAATTTTAACTTCGGAGTACATATGTATAGAATCTGAGTGATTTTAACAGGATCTTTAATTTATTGTGAGAAATGTTTGTATAAAACATAGAAAAGTCATTTTCATTTTGGAGAAGAAAAAATCTGATTTTGAATTTTTCCAAAGTTCTTGGATTTCATGAGAATCCACATTTGATTTACACCACTTCGTGATTATGTTGTAGCACAGTAGTATGTTGTATATAATTTTTTTTCCAAGTGCACTGATAGGCACATATATTTTTCTTGCTATATACCCTGATTTGGTCCTTTTATTGTAGAATGACTTTTAGTCGTTTAATACTATATTTTAAAATTCATGCAAGACTCGTTATCTTTTCTGACAAATTGTCGAGGTATTCCTTTCCGTAGTTTACCCAATGTCTGGCATACTCCTTGACAGAATTCGTAATAGAAATGAAGTTATGTCTCTCTGAATTTTGGACCTTTAAAATTATTGCTTTCTATGGCATGCCTAACGTTGCAATAGTCGATCTTTTCCATTTGTATTGTATAATTTTCCATTTGTATTGTGTAATTTTTCAATTGCATTGTAAAATTTTTATTTGTATTCTATGATTCTCCATTTGTATTGTATAACTTTTTATTTGTATTGGATGATTTTTATTTGTATTGTATAATTTTCCATTTGTATTGTATATTTTTTTATTTGTATTGTATAATTTTCCTTTTGTATTGTATAATTTCTCATTTGTATTGTATAACTTTCCTTTTGCATTGTATACTTTTCCATTTGTATTGTAAAATTATACACTACAAATGGAAAATTATAGAATACAAATGGAAAATTATACAATACAAATGGAAAATTATACAATACAAATGGAAAATTATAGTATACAAATAAAATTATACAATAAAAATGAAAAATTATACAACACAAATAAAAATTATACAATACAAATGGAAAATTATACAATACAAATGGAAAAAATCATACAATACAAATGGAAAATTATATAATACAAATGAAAAATTATAATACAAATGGAAAATTATAGAATATAAATGGAAAATTATACAAATGGAAAAAATCGAATATTGCAACATTTGACATGCCATACCTTTCAGGACCATTCAAAAGATGGAGTCTCCCTGAATTTTGGACCTTTAAAATGATGGCTTTCAGGACATCGTTTCAAAATAATTTAGAAACATGGGATAATTTGCAATATATTTACATCAATAGGAAGAACAGGATCACATAGGAGGATTTTGTTTTAGATGATCAATATATAGGCATTGTAAAGTATAAGTAATTAATTTAATAATAGTATAAATAAAAAATCTATATGGAAAAAAATACATGTTATCTAAATATTTCCCTGAATATTTGAAAGAGAAGGAGAAAAAAAATACATGTTATCTAAATATTTCTCTGAATATTTCTAAAAAAAAAAAAAAGACATCTTGCTTGGACGAATAATGTATACATATATATAGTACCATGCAGAGATCAGCATATTTTATCTCATCTATATAATATTCTAAGCATATATGTGAATTATTCTAAGTTAACTCAGAACAGAACGGATAACGATGTATACACCAGAGGTTTCTTTTTGGGAAACAACAACGAATTTTACTTAATTAACACATCTTTCCTAATTCGGTTCTATTCCATGTATTTGATGATTTTGAGTTTTCCTTCTCTTTCCACCAGCCAAAGATTATTTTCATCATCCACGTCTATGCCCTCGGGTTTTCTAAGATACTCAATGAGAGAAACAAGACATCCAGCTTCATCGAGAATATGTACACAGTTGTTGTCATAGTCCGAGACTAGAATGTGTCCATGGCTGTCTGTGGCCACATACCTAGGATCAAATACCTTGCCCTGAAAGCCAGTGTAAGTTGTCTTCAGTTTGGCACTTTTATCTAGAATAAGCAAGGCTCCAGCATTCCAGTCTGCAATACAGATGTCTCCATTCCTGTTTTCAGCAGTGACAATCGCAGTATGGGGTCCTGTACAGCTAAAAAGTGACCGATCATTTTCATCAAACTGGATCTCTTGCTTTAGCTCATATGTATCCCCAGAATATCTTTGCACCTTAAATAGTTTGTTGGACTTGTCATTACACATAGAAACTAAAACATCTCCTGAAGGTGTACAACAAACCTCTGTTGGCTTCCATTCCGTTTTGATTATCGCTTTCACTTTCCCTTTCCTAACAATTTCGATCCTTCTTCCATAACAATCAACGTACAACAGGTCCCCGGTTTTCGTAACAGAAATACCATTGGTTGAGCGTCCAGACTTGGTTTTTATTACCTCAAGGACTGTTCCTCTTTTGTTCACTCTTGTCATCGTTTTGTCGTAGCCGCTTATCCATGCCTCTTCAGTAGATAGGCAACTTATTTTGTATAGTTCCTTATAGTTACAATCTACTGTTGCAGTAATCATCGGTTTTGGGAGAAGTTCCCTGTAGTAAGAACGGGCCATGGGTAGCTGCTCCGTCAATGGAATTAAATACTCATCTTCCAGCCTCGCAGTCGATACAGATAACATTCCAATGTTTTCGAAAAGTTTTCCCCTGTTAACAACACGTGTAAAATAAGGTGGAGTAAAGTTAATACGTGACGGAACTTTCTGAAACTTCTTTACAATAGACTGATAACCAAATATCTGGACATCATTAGATTTCAACATTTCCTTGTTTCGTTGAACTGAGTGATGAATTTCCCCTGTGACATTTTGGAATCTGGAAATGTTTTCCCTCAAGTCAGCAATGTCCTGTTTTTCCATCGTTTCAATTTGGTCCACATATTTATCGACTGCTGCCTGAATTTGCTTCTGTAATTCTTCACCGTAATTTGTAATTTGTTCCTTAAGTAATGCATTACTATTCATTAAGGCTTTCACTTTTCCCTCTAACTCTTTAGGAATTTTCTCATACTCGGGGGCAATTTTTTCTTCCAGGGATTTTGTTTCTTGAATTATGAAGTTAACTTTTTGGTTGAAAACACTTGAAATTTCAACAATACTGTGGTTAAAATGAGACTTGCTAGATATGCATTTCGCACAAACAGCAATGTCACATTTTTCACAAAAGAGCTCGCAGGTCTGGTCAATATGGCTTGGACATTGTGGTTTAGGACTACTAAGATACTTCTTATCATATTTTACAATATCGTGTTTCTTTTCAGGTGTAGATAACATATGCCCTCCTGCACAGCCTCCACATATATTGATGCCACATAGTTTGCAGTAGAGTTCTACACTGTTGCTGCAAAGGCTACATAATATCAGGTCTTGGGCAAATACGATGTCTTGATTAAATGATTCAGCAGCTGCCATGGGAGTTGTTATAAAGGACAAATTGTATCTAAAATTAAACTTAGATTAAAAAAACAACAATGATCAAAGTATATTCAAATATACTAGTATATTTAGATGTGTTTGGATATTTGAATGCTTACTTGCTGCTTGTCTTTCATTTGCTGCTTGTCCTTCGTTTAAGGATTCCAAGACTCAAACATAGTTCTGAAATTCAACACATTATTAAGATTAAATATTCACTGCAAGTGATGACAGCATGTATACTGCGGTGTTACCTCGCCATTTAGAGGGGCGTAGGGGCGCACGTGCGTATGTACCACCCTAAAATTTTCAAGGATTACGCTTCATGTGCATTTTGAGCTAATTATTAATAAATAAAAGGAAATAGTAGAGGGGGGTTGTCATACGTATTAAAATGGGTATCTCAAAAACATTGAAATGGATATACTTTTCAAATATCAGGATTAGAACTCTTGATTGATCAGCATTACTTGGATTATACTTGATTTCAAGCAATCATTAATACGGAAGAAATGGATTCCTTAATCCGAAATTTCCACAACAAATATCTGTCATCCTTTACTTGGTTCCCCCAAAATCTTAAGACATTTGAGTACTAAAGTGCATGTAGCAGACATATATAGGAAGCAATATTAATTTCAATTTGGGGGATACAACCTAACCAGAATTCTTGCCTTTAAAAAAATGGTATAGAATACAATAGGCACTTTAAGAAAAATAGAGATATATGACTTGGTAAAAACCAACACATTTTTAATACATAATCTTCATAATTTGCACAACAAAGTCTTTCTGACGCGAAAATCTTTTTATACATGCAATTTCTTTTGCTGAAATTTCTTGAAAATGGAGTATTATAAAGTTACATTTTATTCTTAAAGTTTCTATAATTCAGGAGTTTAAAGCGGTTCCCAAACATTAATGACAAACTTTTTTTTGAAATTTAAGAAAAGTGTATCATATAATACTGTTTAGTCAAACGGGGGAGTTCCTTGCAATAATGGTTTCAATTATTTTATCTTGGTCTCATATAATGTTAGGAATTCGATCTTAGATTTATTTCAAGTTGTCCCATTTACTGTAAATATCCGTTTATTCCATTTTCGATCAAACAGCAGATCACTCAAACTGCATAAAACTAACCAAGGAAATGAAACTCTTCAGTGAGCAGTGTTTATTGTAATTCAACAAATATCAATTAATCATGTTAATAACGAAGAAATGAAAATTCCCTAAGAGTAGTTTTAAAACAATTTCAGTTGTGAATGTGCGTAACATCGCAAAATGCCGGTGACTACACCGGTAAGTGTCCATTAGGCTGGTGGGTTAGAAGATTTCATTAGTATACAAAAATGGTTTGAGGACGAACGGACCCGATACCGCCTATATTAATTTCCACAACTGTTCGGAGGATTTCATGAAAATTATAAGAAAGACTAATACCATTCTCATAATTAAAATCAAACGGAAATAATTAATGATTAACTTTTGTTATGTTTATGTGAAATCGAACTTACATTTCAACTTCCTGCTCTAAATCTGTATTTCACCGGAACACCAAAACGGAAATGGCCAAAATAAGGTGATGACATTAACATCCGTCGACAAAAAAAGCGGCAAATGTTGAACTTCGATCTTTTTGAGACAATTCTAAAATTTTATGGTTCCTGCTATACATAAGATATTTTTAAATAGTCTCGGTGTATTATATATCGAAATAACTATGATATAACTTCTTATATATTTTAACAATTTTATTTCAGGTCCTAACGTTTTAAGCCTAGTTTTACATGTGTCCATACAGGATGAGAGACGGAAGCATAAATAATACAGAGGCTAAAGACTTGAAGTATAGATTGTATATATCCCTTTCTTTTTCGCTTCCTTTTTATGCCCCATACCATATCTTCTTAATTGGGTACATACCTCTAATTATTTTTAGAATCGGTAGGAGAAGAAAGTGGCATAATTAAGTTTATACTTTGTGAAAGTGCAAGGATGTTTCCATCAAACGCGTCCCGAAAATTCGTAGTTTCAATAATTTACAAATAAAATAAGTGTTTTATTATATTTCCGTGTGAAACGCTATAGCAACATGTAAGTCATGATGTTATACAGAAAATTTGAGAAAATATTAACTTCAAATCTCAGGCCCCTTTAAATAATAAAGCTGGATCATTTTTTTGCGGGATGGATCGTCGGGTAATATGTTGACCCGCCTCCTTAGTTTCACAATATTCCGACACTCATAATTCACATTTTAAATTAACTCTGAATTCGCGGGAATTCCTTCCAGGCCGCGACAAAACAGACAATCTAATTGTTTGTTGTGTTCAATAAATGGTAATATTTGTACATCTGTTGGAAATTTGTACATTTATTGTTCATTTTCTTTGCATTGGAGAGGACAATCTAGGTTGGAAAAACATTTGTCCAATGCGATTGATTATGATTCAATAAAATATATATTGAAATCAAACAATAAAGAATTAGACTCGCCCGGCTGAAGTATGAGTAACTCCGTCCAACCAGGATATTTTGCTTGTACAGCAGAGAGCGTATAAAAAATGGTTGGAGCAGGACCTACAGGTCCACTTCTGAACACCTATATGTGTGTTATGTCACGCTGGTAGGGCATTTTATCCGGTTTGTTCATTTACCAATTTCTTTCCAAATTCAATACTAAGGCACGCCGATTGCTTCAAAATTATTTTCTGCACGACCTTACACAAAAATTACACGAGTAAGTAAAAACTTACACAAAGTGAGGAAAATATACACGAAGTTATTGAAATTTACACAAACTATTGAAAAACTGCACAATCAACAAAATATTTACACGATATAGTGAGAAAATTACACAAACATAAAAACGAAAACTGCACGAATGAGAATACAACATCGACATAATACGCAACGCATCCTCATTGCGCACATTTCATTAATATTCATTAGAAAACAGGTCAATGTGGCTTGGATGCTTGTAAAGTGTTAGTAATCTTTTTAAAAAAATATTCTTTTAAAATTCCGCTAGACTCTCAAGAATATGTACAACATATATCATACATGTAGATAAATTGACAGGCACACAATCTTAAACTTGTAGTATATGAATACTCCCGAATAAAGAATACATGTATAGATAACGTTAAAAAAAAGGGGTGCATATTACAGTTGTGTGTTTAATTGTTGGATTTTTTTAGTAGGTCATTCCTCTATATAGCAATTTCTTTTGAAAGTTTTAAACAATGACATATACGCCTAAATTAAAATAAATAATAACAACATGTGATATAATACAGGAGAGTTAACAACAAATCAAACTCTTCTCCTCCACCACCCACTGAGTGTACTTTTGGTAATAATCAAGGATGTGCATGCATGACCTTTTCATACAGAGATCCCTCCCTGCTGATTCTGGAACAAAAGACACCTGTACGCTAATCGATTTATAGCTATTTCACACACCAATAATACCTTTTGATTAAAGATTACTGGCAATTCATACAAAGATTTTGAAGCAATGTTGCGATCATCTGGGTTGTGGAATTTGACCGAAAACTTTTTGGAAGTCAACAGTAAAGAAAATCGAGCAAATAATTGCGCAACTGAAATTTTAATATTGAAACGCATATCTTACTTTTTGATATATGTATGTAACAAAGTAGTACATGTAGTCTTAACTTTTGACCAACGTGTGGTGATTTCATAAAACTCCATGAAACTGTAGAAAAATTACACAGTCGTTTTACTTATGTGAATTAAAGCTTAATTTTATGTTGTTTTTAATGTACCGGCGGTAGTCTATTTTGAATAGTTAAAATGCATATAAAGGAGTGAAGAAAATTTAAAATTACAAAATACAGGCACGTAGTATCGGGGGGGGGGGGAGCCAGATTTTTTTTTTGACAACCTACCTGAAAAAAACCTTGCAAAGCAACAAAAAAGGTAAAGTATCCAAACTCGAAAATCCTTTTTCGTGGGGGGGGGGGGGGGGGGGAGGGGGGCACCTTCCACTTTGTTTTCGAAACATTATAATACCAAATTACTTTGATTTAAACTATCCTACAACAAGGGGGGGGGGCAACCAGCTTTTCAGTGGACATTTACAATAGAAGTAGGTTATGTTTGGAAAAAAGGGGGGCAGGCCTGATGCTACGTGCCTGAAATATTTTCTAATAATTTAAGGGTACATATAATAGTCTATCGAAATCAGGATTGCAATTTAACTGATTTGTAACGATATTGTAAGACCAAATTCAAGAAGATGTATAAGATGAACTTAATTAGCTGGGACTTGGCTACACATGCATATTTATTTTCAATGCAGATTTTGACAATAATAAATTGGAACACGGTAATAAAACAAAAATTTCTTGAAGTTTATATTCATCATATGTTTTCTTATATTTATTCGTCGTCATGCTCGAAGTAAAAACAAGACCTGTTTGATGCCATCGATACACATGTACAATATTGCTATAAAGCAAACTTTTTAATTACTTGTACATATATACGTACAAAATTCATATTGCATAGATTAGGCTTTTAACTCATAATCTGAATTTTCAAAAATGTTAGATATGCACATGAATAATCTTTTAAGAAGTGGAGCTTGTATCAAATAAGTTCCTTGAATGTTACTGAAGATTATTTTCATTTTATAATTATACAGTCATGTTCTTTTTATAATGACTATATCTTTGGGTAAAAAAGTGTTATTACAAAAAAACAAGTGTTCGGATAATAATTAAAATTTTATGCATACAAATTCGAAATGTAAAGAAAATTTGTTATCTTGGAAAATCTTTGTCAAACCTCGAGCTCCATAAAGAACATGATTTATTTGCATTTTTCAAGAGCGATAAAACGCGTTCTATGTTCTTTCTATTTATTACAATATCCATTCCCATTTTCTTATTTGTAACATTGTACGTAGATGTATTTAGTAATTCACTATGTTTTAAAATTTCTGACGTGTCATTATCGACCAACGATTTGAAACTTTAATAAATACATAGATTCAGATGTTGCGACTCAATCAATCCACGAACCAGATCCGCCACTAATGTCATTAGTTTAACGTGTGCCAGGATCATTTGAGTAGAGTTTTGTTATTTCACTTGGACATATTTTAAGTAACAAAACACAAAATCGCATGTATATAAAGCACATAGAGTATATATTTTTCCTTTATCTGGTCCTTTTTATTAAAAGTGAAAACATTTATCAAGTAATCGCCATTACGAATGAGGGTAACGCTTTCCCTTAGGAATATCTTGTTGTTTATTGAGTAGTTTTTGAAAATATGCGATATCATGGAAGGAATTCATAAGAGTGTAGGCTACAAATATCCAACCAATATTGATATTCTCATATTTTATAAGTAAAGATACATGTATAATTAGAAATATTTTTTTAAGTTTGACTTTAAAAACATACTGTGTATATCTAAGGTGAGGTAATCCCCACTTTTTAATCTTTTTGAAAATAAAAAAATATATCCAGCTAACTCCCAAATGAAAAAAAAAATCTGCTCAAATGAAATCATAATTAGTACAAATGAGAAGTACCGAAATAAATTCTACAATTTAATGATTATAATCAGCAATAATTCTGCCATCATTTTCATGAAGAATCCACTTTATTAATCGTTTTATTATGCATGTGTTAATTTTTATTTTATACAAATAATTTCCGTTAAAGTTGTATCTATAAGTTAGATAATTTTAAAAGGCCATAGAGCGTATATTTAAAAAAATAAATTAGTAATTCTATCATTTTTTAAAGCAAGATCTGTTTATCGTTAGGAATTTAGAGTTTGCTGTGTATTACTTTTAGTTCAGAGTCGAGTGCATCATATGCAATGGTACTTTTTCCCCCGCATTATAACACAAATACGCGATTTCTTTCTTGTCACAATTTATGTCCGGCATCATATAATACTTCCATATTTTGGCCAGGATCTCGGTCAATATAAAAAAAATATAATATCTCCGAACAACTTTTTAATTTTTTTTCACACAGTTCACAAGAAAACACTTCATTCGTTTGATTGGCATTAGCTAGAAATCGGATCGAGTTTTAGCAAAGAAATAAAGAAGCAAACAAACATGCATATCATCGTCAACGCCATTTTCTCTCGATTACATCCAACATTCAAGAATTAAGAGATAAAGAGTACAGAAAACCAAGAACACAATGAATATTCTATGTGCATAATAATGATAGGCGCAGCTGTATGCGCAGTAAAATTGTTTGTGTAACTTTTAGTTTCCTCTGCTCGTGCAGTTTTTGATTTTACGTTTGTGCATTTTATACCCACTAATCGTGTAAAAAATTTCGGATTCGTGTATTTTTCGTTATGTTTGTGTTAAAATCTTTCAAACTATCTGCAATTTTTACCGATACGTGCATTTTTATTTTACTCGTGTATATTTTTCATCAAGCTCGTGTATAAAATCGTGATCGTTGTGCAAAAAATAATTTTGAAGCAATCGGCGTGCCATACAATACCAACAGCTGTAACAGCCCCGGGACTAAGGATACTCATTTCAAGATCCGGTCTAAACAGTCTGTGGGAACATAACATCCAATCGCAGTACTCAGAGATCCCTCTCTTTCCTGCAGATACAACGTATGGCCAAACTTCCAAAGTCTACACATTTGCGTTTTACTGTGTAAGACTGGGTCTGCATTTAAAACGGTTTTGGGGGAGAACCTTCAAGACGCCCATGTTGTACAACATCAGTCTCTTGGTGGAGGTGATGTAATACTTGTAGTTTGGAGATTCATTATTTTCAATGGAGGAAAACTGTTGGTGATCATCGACCGAAATCAAACAGGAATTCGTTACGGGACGAAATTATACACCAGTATGTCTCCACTTCATCTAGAATTGTGGATAACAAAACAACGCAAAACTCCTTGTTGCATGTATTGTTCTTGACTTCAGAAGACATCAGAACTTGAATTCAGTGCCTTAGTCTATCCCCGACGTATGTTTTGGATAAAATATAACATACCGATTAACCGCTGACGTTAGCTGAGGTGGGTTGAGAACTGGTGCAGATTTTGGAACATTTTTGAATAACTTGTTTAATGAGATCAGCATTCGTTGTCAATCAAACATCGATGCTACTGACAGTCAAACTCTCTATTGACTGCGTAAATCTTCTGGAAATTCTACATTTCTTCTGGCAAACTCACTTCAAATTGTTTTGACATATTGTAAGATATGAGTTTGTTAAGTACAGACTATTGATCTTAACTGTATCTGTGGTAATTTATTCGATTGTTAGGTAATTTCTTTCATGATAATATTTAACTGATCCGTTTGTCTGATCGATGCAGAGGGCTCAAGCAGGATGTCACCGGTCGACAGGGGATGCTTACTCTTCACTGGCACCTGATCCCTCCTCTGGTGTTTCCAGGGGTCCATGTTTTTGCTCTGTTCTCGATTTGTATTGTTCATATATATATATATATATATATATATATATATATATATATATATATATATATATATATATATATATATAAAACTTTTTCCAAGTTACAGTGAATAATGTGTTGTGCAGCTTGTTAATATATATATTCTCTGATCATTTGTTTTTTTTACGCCGTCCGTGTCTTACTGTAACCTTTCGCAATGACATACCGGTATTCGACGACGACTTCTTTGCAAGAACCAAGCACGGAAATTTATACAAACTTGCTACAGATCATCATTGAGCTAAGCTTTTTGTTTGATGGAGGGCTGTCATCTCCTTCCATGGGGGAAAATATTTCATGTTCAGTAGGCAGCGACGTATTTACTACAAGCTTTTGTCGCATCGAACTATCAAACAGTGGCATCAAAGCAAGTGTTACTATCAGAAACCCAAAAGTATGTCACCGGTTTTAATATATGTGCGTTTGTTTTCTACGATTAGTAGGCGAACACTGCTATACATGTCATTACTTCTCATTGACTCCCAAATGTCCAAAGTACTGGCAAGAAATGTTCAAATAAGATCAAATGCATATATTTTTTTTCTTTACACAAGTCTTAAAAACATCTGATCGTTATAGATAAGTTAAACTTGATAAAGTCTTAAACTTTTAATGTAACAATAGTCCCTGTGGTCAAGGTTAAGTATTTAGTTATAGTGTCCTTTCTGGCAAATATATTTTATTTCTTAAATAAAATCTGGAGTCATTGTTGTATATTTTATTTAAGAAATAAAATATGCCAGAAAGAAATTAGTTCAGACCAAGAGTCTAAGGGTTTGATTTCAATTCATTTGTTAGTAAATTGGCAGTATGTCTTAGCTGCATGTCGTAGTCGTATAGGCCTCTTGATTTCGTTTTTCTGAGAACTCATTGTTAAATTCTTTAATTATAAAAGATTTTCAACTGGTCAAAAGAAACGATTTTTAAAACGTTTTAAAAAGCATACGTGACTGCAAGTCTGAGAACTTGACACTCCTATCACTTGTCGACTTTTTGTAAAATACTAGTACGAGGCCAATGATAGCTTACTTTGTCTACATATGTAACATTTACCTTGTAAAATTATTGGTTATTCTCATCAATTATTTTTTTTTATTTATATACATACAAACGAATCACTATTGATCGTTCTTGAAAGTTTGAGATAAGTCTAAAAAACATTGTTTTGTCCTAAGTGAAATCGCCATGATCTCCTAATATAGTGGACAAATTTACCGAATTCTATTTTGAAATTAAACGTTTTTGGAATGATGTTTGCATTGCTTTACAGAGTTTTCTTTACCAAAAAACCTTGAGAATGTAGTAGTTGACTCAGAATGTAATTAAATACATTTATATGTCCTCTAAATAACATACATACAGAGATACATGTATATTAACAATGTAAAAATTCTGATCCATGGGGATTTAAATGCTTCTGATATCTTGTATTTGATAAGAAAATCAAAATTATTTTTGAAACCATTTAATTGGTAAATTTTAAAATATAAATGATAAATTTATTACACTGAGTTTTACTTAAACATATATGCATATTTTAGCTAAAAAATCATTTAATTATTTATTCAAGGTCATTCAATTTATTTAGAGGACATCTATATGTGTTTTTAAAAATACACATGTAATATGGGAGACATTGTATTTTCCAACAAAAATACATATCACTTTACATTCGCTTATCAACCTGATCAGGAAAAATTTAGTTCTTTTATTCTTCATATAATAAAGTCTGTTAGCTGAAACAAACACAATTAAAAACGTCATCAAAATAAGGAAAAAACACAGTAGATTTGTTTTTGTTTTTTAATTTGTATTTCAATAAATTTAGAACAAGCAATATTGCTATCCATTGTCACCTTGCAGTTATTACCTTAACGTCATAAAATATGTGACGAGTATAATGATTGGTTAACAAATGTAATGTCTACACAGTAACATAAACAGTTTACAGTTCTTTGATATGTGAACTGGATTTAAACAAGGATATACAACTTTATCTTTGTGAACATTAATTGAACTATCAAAAAAGTTACACCCTTTATCTAACAGTTTTATGTTAGTATTGGTTCCTAGATTTTTAAATTACATTTCATAAACATAGCATTTTCCAATTATTTTTCCTGTTCAATAATTTTTTATCTCAGATTTAAAAGAATTAACAAATTAATACATGATTTATCACTTATAATGCCTGTTTACAAAGTTTAATTACAATCATTTTTCTAAAGATTTCTTTCATAAGGAAGAATTTATTCTCTACTTCAAAATTCTTTTCTTTAATTTAGACACACTGAAGTATTTCAAGAAAGTAGCTAAATATGCTCCAATGAAAAATAAATATAATATATATGTTAACATGTACATGTATTTACAAACAAAAAAAAATTCTCTATTTGATACTTCATTTTTTTCTTTTAGCTACATATATGTACCTGAATTAAATTTGCCATTTATATGTGTACTCTGTCATGCATACCAATAGAGTAAGCATGTCAATCCCTTGTTATAACTAAATAAACAATTTTTCCATGTTTAACCCACAATGTTTTTGCTAAGGCTATTATTAAATGCCCAAATACTATGTAAATTATGTCTAACCCTCCATTCAAAGCACTGGAATTTTTATCTGGTCATAACTGGCAGTCAGTTTTAAAATACCTTAACTTCAAAAATTGTTATTTGATATTATACAAGGAACTTTTTGAAAAATTTTAGTCTCAATCTCTTTGTTATAAACACAAATAAGGAATCTGTTTTTGTTCCTGTTAATAATAATAACAATAATTTTAAAACTAAAGCATTTTAGAAATTTTTAACACACAAACCCTGGATTTTCCAATATGAGTATACAATATTGAAAAAATAATACGTTAATCTTCACTGACAAATCATAATAAAAAAGAAAACAAAATTTTACAAACTGGACAAGCACTGATTCAGAAAAAAAGATACTTTTTTTCAATCTCCACAACAGCTTTTTGGGAATGTCTTAATTATAAAATATAAAACATCATAACAAAGAAAAGGCAAAAGAGGTAGGGATTTGGTCATGTGTTGGTCAATAAAAAATTACATTCTTTTAAAAATGGACTGGATGTACAAACAGTGAGCGAGCACCATCTGTACAATGTTTATCCCTGAAGGCAGAGTGGAACAGATTGATACAAGACAGTCATAACTGATACAAGGCAGTTATAATGCTGGGCTGCTTGTCAGATTAAGCTCCAAGTAATGTTCACAGAGTGTGTAATGTTTAAACAAGCAATGCTAATAATTAGCAAGTGACATATTGGCAGTTGTATCTGGTCTGGGAAAATCAAATGATCTCGGAGCAAGATCTATAGTATTTTTAACACCTGTAGTTTATACATTTCTGTGCTTTTTTTTTTAAGATAAGAGATACAGTAGTCTTTCAGAAACTTTCAGAAATATAAGCACTTTTACACACAATTTAAAATAATTTACACAAAAACATACATACAGATTTATATTAACAAGACGTATATATTTATAATATATAACAAATTTTACACTTTGGTATATTCATGCATGGGTAGTACTACTCTTCAAAATAAAAATAGCAAAATAAACAAAAGTATATTAATTAAAAAATATCTCAAAACAGTTCTAAATACAACACTTTTCAAACAAAATTGCACAAAAAAAGTTTACACAATAAAATTTCTTTTTCTAAAATAGCTTGTTTGAGTTATAAATAGCCGCCTTTCACAAAACACATTCACACAATAATTGGACAATCATTTCTTTTTCTTTAAACTTTTCTTTTTTACTATAAGATCAAACATGGCATCCATTGCCTCTGGAAGTCCTTCACCAGTAATAGCACAGGCCCCCTGTATTGCCCACACCTGTCCTGGGTGAAGATCCCGAAGTCCTAATAATTTCTCAATTTCACACAAGTCCAAAGAATTTGGCAAGTCTTGTTTGTTGGCAATAACAAGAAGGGGCAGTCTCTGATTATCTGCATTTTTAAGTAGCCGGATAAGTTCCAACTTTGCTTCTTCAAGTCTCTCTCTATCTACACTGTCCACCACAAATATAATCCCATCAGAAGAACGTGTGTACTGATTCCATAAAGGTCTCTTGTTGTCTTGTCCCCCTACATCCCAAATCTTAAATGTGATTCCTTTAGCTCGCCCCTCCTTCACTTTGATGGTTTCACAATTATAACTGATTGTCGGGGTGGCGTTTGTGTATTGTTGAAACTTCATGCGATACAAGATAGTGGTTTTACCGGAGGAATCCAGGCCCAGCATAGATATTTGTACTGAAGAGGAACTCCCCATTCCTCAATACACACTCCAGAGAAAATCACGTTCCATCACATCAATGAAGATTTTGGGGTATGCACATTTTTAAAATGACACGTGGTTCTCATAATTGCCCCATTCTTATACTACTCGCCGGTCATAAATAAACACACTGCGAGTCCATCCTGAATGACTAAGTTTTTGACACCTGTCCAATTTTTCACACCTATTCGGGTGGACTGATTAAAGATCAATCAGTCGAAAATTCACAACAATCGTTTTATACGAGGTGTAAGTTATAACCATAAGTATTCAAGATACCAATAGATAACTAGCAATTACTTTACCTGGATATAAAATACAATAACAAATTCAATAAACTATTCACTTTTCAAGGTATCTATTTCCGGTGAAGAATTCCTAGTGCTGCCATCTATATTTACCTGTCGTGGTTATAAAAAGTCTTACTAACTATACTGTCATATTTTTACTGGATAAACAATATCAAGGTAGCGTGGCCGAGCGGTCTAAGGCGCTGGTTTAAGGCACCAGTCTCTTCGGAGGCGTGGGTTCGAATCCCACCGCTGCCAAGACTTTTTTTTTCTTATTAGTGGGTAACATTACTCGGAAGAAAAGTAGAGAACTGTTTTACCTCTCAATTGCTAATGAGCAAAACTCCATATTTACATGTATATCCACAATTAACAGTAAAAATATCTTAACACCTCCAGTGGAGGATAAGTATGAGGAAAACTCAACATAAATTATGGGCACTACAAAATCTACATTCTTTATCCAAAAGCAGACTAAAAAATATAATTATTATTACTCATTTCACAAGGTCAGACGACACGTTCCTCAAAAATGTATTTTGTATACCTTGGTATTATATCAAAAATTGTACATAATTGTCACTCTCTTGTAATTTCTAAATTGTTTCAATATGTTTAAAAAAAAAAAAAATAAGTACACCAAAAATTGTGAATTTGGCAATTCAAAAGATTACCCATAAGGATTATGTAAGAAATATCACCCTCTGGTATCTTGCCCAAATGCCTGGTAAGGTACCTCAATTTTTGGTGAGGAAACTTGTTTAGGAAGTTAAAATTCAATGACAAATTCTTGGGAAAAATTATATATTTTCTAGGATTGTGTCATCTGACCTTAATAGATCCCCCTGACAATGGTAAAACTTAAATCCATGTAATCTGATAAGAAATTGAAATCGCATGCAGAAAAATAGGCCTATAAAGGTGTAAAGTACATATCACAAACGGATACGAACGAAGGTCCGGAAGGGGTACCTTCTCCCGTGAGCCAGAATTTTTTTTATATATAAATAGGTACCACTTTGGTGGGTTCTACTAAATTTATTTTGTTTCAAAAATGATACATGTATTTTCAATTTAAAGAAAGGGGGGGGGGGGCGAAGGATGCCATCGCAACCGACGCACCCCACCCTATCCCTTTCCGACGACCTTGGTTTAACGCTGAAAGCAAAATATTTTTTTGTGTTTAATCTATTTTAATTGCTTGTACTGAGATATTTTGGTAACTATCTTAGCACTGTGTTCTCCCTTCCTTCCTGAACTGAGCTTGCATTTAAAATTAAAATCACTGCAAACCACCACCCCTATACGAGTGTTTCAAATCCCCACCCCAGTCCTAGATATTTCATCTCGGGTTTTTGTTTTTTGTACGGAGTTTCAGTCTGAAGGGATTTCTAGATATCTTCATTTAATGAAATGTATAAGCAAACGTGCCGCAAAAATTAGCAAAAAGACCATTGTAAAACACTACTACTATGATGCTGTTAAACATTTATTTACTAGTATTTTCTTTTTAAAGATAGAAAAATCAATACAGGGTTTAGGCTAAAATTTTGATCAGCGTTTAAAACACAGGCACTTGTATGGTATACAGGGCACCCCTAAGAGTGCCCTTTATACGAAAGAAGTGCCTGTGGTAAAAATAAGTATAGGGGTGCCCTGTATACGAAACAAATGCCTGTGGTTTAAAAGATATGTTAATCAATTTTTCAGGGTATGTCAGTCTTTTTTTTATGTAGATCAAGGAGTTCGGGGAAAACTGATTCATTGAGATGGATTTAGGCGACGTCTACCTGACCCTTAGAGACAGGGCTCTGGGGCCATAAAACATATATGAGCTCACTTTTGATCTCAGTCTCACTTTCTCACTATTTATTCCTTTTGTACCGTTTTCGACTGATACATAAAAAGAGAGTTCAGTCGAAAACGGTATATTTAAAAACAGCATGTAGAGACAAAAGAGTTACATTATTGATAACATATAGTGCATATTAGAATACAAAAATAGGAAAAACGTGACTCGATCCCATATTTAAAAAGAAAAAAAATGGAAAAGGGGGGGGGGGGTTCCATACCCCAAGTGCTTGTGGTTGGAGATCGCAAAATGTTACTAACGGCATGACCCATTTTCATACATAAGTCCGGTGCGATTTTTTACTCTTTACGTTGGATTCTGAGTTACTGTGGTTTTCTACGCAGAAACAAACACCTAAGAAATAAAAATATGGTCCTTTACTATTACATAAAAATAGGGTTGGTAGGGCGAATTTTTTAATATTTATTTTTTTCTTTCTTTCTTCAGTTTGAAGCTCTATATTTCTAGCCACATTTGTAAAATCTTTTTAACCACTTACCTGACAGCTCTAAAATTAATGTTTGTCAGGTAATTATAAACGAAAATTTTTTCTTTTATGCATGAACAGGGTAAATTTACTCAGTCTTATTTATTTACATCTTTGTGGTTCTTTATTCTTGATGAATTTCAAAAGAGCTGAGGTATATATTATTATTCGGGGAAAAAATTTCCTATCGGAAGGATTTATTTAATATATTTGTTGGTATCATTTGTGCTTTCCGAAAAAGAAGAGTTCTAAAAAATGTTTCTCAGGCGGATTAGGTCATGCCTTACAAAACTCCAAATAGCATATAATTACCAAACATTTTTACGCCTTTATTCATCTTCATACAAAAGTAAATATTCTATTGAAAACATTTATCCAAACAGTGATCAGAATTTTCTCAAGAAAGTGGAGATCAAGGTAAGTAAACATTGTGCAAATTCGGATTAAGCTGATTTTACATCTACAAAGAAACCCTCTTGCGTATTAATTCATTTTATTTTAGGAGTAAGATAATATTTTTTCCTTTACAGCATGCGTATAGTAATGACACAGAAGAAGAATTCACAGGCTACATACCTTTAGGTAGTAGTAGTACATTATGCATTTCATGATACATATGTTAATTTATGATCACCTATTCTTTTTAAGCAAAGTGGACAGGCATTTGCCTACATCCATTCTTATGTAGGTGAATGCCTGTCCACTTCTCCAAAGGGAATACTTATTCCTGAGTACTCTATCACCATAAGCAGATATATTCATGTAGTCCGAAATATCTGACTTTTTCTGGGCTTTTTTTACGTTTTGATATTTTATGTGCCAGGAAAACGTTAGAACCAACGAAAACTGGGAATTCGCCGCTTCCAACCGGAGGCGGCATTGTCAGGTTGATTTTCGAATTCCTGTATTGAAAAGTGGAGTGATGTTTTCTTTTCATTGATATTGGTGAGTACTAGAAGCATTGTGCTATTGATAAATTGTGAGCTCGGCATTTAATTCGGTTCGCAAGTATCGAAAATCAAATCCGGCTGTAGATGGCGTTATTTTCCAGGAAAATGTCAGATATTTCGGACTAATATTCATGTTACTCTCTAAATTATATTGAACTCACCTGAGCCAAAGGCTCAAGCAAGCTTTTCTGATAAAAAATTGTCCATTGTCTGCCATCAGCGGCAGCAGCGTTGTAAACTTTTTACATTTTCATCTTCTTTTTCTCCAGAACCCCTGAGCCAATTTCAACCAAACTTAAGCATCCTTAGGTGAAAAGCAAATGAAGGGCCATACCTTCTTTCAAAGGGAGATAATTAAGAATTTTTCTTCAAGAATAGCAAATACCTGATTATTCTTATATGGAACCTGGATAGTATAGATTCAGGTTTGTTCAAATCATGACACCCCAGGGTGGGGCCACAATAGGCAATCAAAGTTTTACATAGGAATACATGTAAATAGTGAATAAATTTTTTGATGAAGAAGAGCTGTGTAAGACTCAAATGAGTGTAGTGGCCCATGGGCCTCTTGTTTGATTTGTTTTTCATATGCAACACTTATATATGACTTTATATGTTGATTTTAATACACTGAGTACAATTAACAAAAAAGTGCAATTATCAGGTGCATGAAGCAGCATTAAAATGAATGTATATTACATTGGTGTACAATACATAATGTCCAATGAATGTATTAAACTCAGGATGCTCTATTAATAAAACATGCCAAGGTAATATGTTGATGGTGTGACTGTTGGGTATAATTTATTACTAGATACCTATTCACTTTTAAGTTAGATCTGTCTAGCTTGACATTTTGAAGGTCTAAAACTGTGACATCAGATGATGTATGTAAGTTGCATTTCTGTAAGTCTATAATCTTCTTTAGTCTAAAAAAGGGCACATTTTTAACAAAGAACATTTAATCTACTATTTGTCTGCAATTTCCATTAAAGCAAGGTGAGATACTTTTTTATTTGTGAACTTTTCTTTGGTTATCACAAGAACACGATCCAAAGAGCAGTACTGCAGTTATGGAAATCACTTTACAGTATATTTCTCTAAAATAATCTTTCTTCGTAAGAAATTCTTAGTTTTTTACAACTTTAAAAAACAAACATATTCTCATATAATTATTTATGAATAAATACAATGAACATGTATCATTATTAGAGTTATATGTACAGTGTATATTTCTCTGGGTATACTTTTTGTTTTTACAGAAATCTTTTGACAGAGGAAGTTAAAAATTCAGAAAATTGTATTATCTTGCTTCTGTAACAATGCTTAGAGGATCCTGTTAGGGTTAAATATTTCTTTCTTTCAGTTTTATTATGTATTGTTTAATTTGCAGATGACATTCAGATAAAAGCTATAAGAGGAAGTGGTCCAGGAGGACAGAATGTTAACAAAGGTTAGAAATTCTGTGAACATCAGAAACAATTAGATATTGGGGGCAGTATGAGACTGAGATACCAAATGGGGGGGGGGGGGGATCACTGATGAAGAAAGGGATGGCTCACTGATATTGAGAAATAAATCATATATTTTGATATTAATTTAGATGTGTAAAGGAGAGCATAGATTTATTTGTATAGATAGATACTAGTAATTGATAATTAATTCAATTTGATATATAGAATAGGTGATTGATGTGATGTTTAAATAGATACAATCTAACTTTTGTTGGTGTACAGT